AAGGACATCAGCAACATGAGTAAAGATATAGAAACATTGAAAACCAAACAAGTGGAAATGAAGAATGACATAGCAGAAATTAAGAATACATTGGAAGGACAAATCAGCAGAGTAGAGGAAGCTGAGGACCAGATCAGTAAATTAGAAGACAAGTTAGAAAAAAATCAACCAATCAGAAAACCAAAAGGAAAAAACAATTAAAATACAGGAAGACAGCTTAAGAGAACTGTGGGCCAAATGGAAACTTAATAACATTCATATCATAGGAGTCCCCGAAGAGGAAGAAAATGGGCAAGGGTTAGAGAATATATTTGAAGATATAGTAAGAGAACACTTTCCTACCTTGGTGAAGGAAGAAGGCATTCAAGGTCAAGAAGCACAGAGAGCCCCAAGTAAGAAGAATGCAAACAGGCCCACACCAAGACACATAGTAATTAAAATGCCAAAAATTAAAGAGAAAGAAAAAATCCTAAAGGCAGCAAGAGATAAACAACAGGTTAACTACAAAGGAAACCCTATAAGGCTCTCAGCTGACTTCTCAACAGAAACACTACATGCCAGAAGGTAGTGGCATGAAGTAAACAAGGTCATGAAAAACAAGGATCTGAATCCAAGACTACTCTATCCAGCAAGGCTATCATTCAAAATAGAAGGTCAAATAAAGAGCTTTCCAGACAAAAAAAAAACGGGGGGGGGGGCTAAGGGAATACATTAGCACCAAACCAGCACTGCAAGAAATGTTAAAAGGACTGCTGTAATTAGTAGAATAAATAGGAAGAAAAATAGAACCACACTAAACAAAAATGGCAATAAATAACTACATATCAATTATCACCTTAAATGTGAATGGGTTGAATTCTCTGATAAAAAGACACAGAGTAGCTGACTGGATAAGAAAGCATGACTCACATAAATGTTGTTTATAAGAAACCACCTCACAACAAAAGACCCACATAGGTTGAAAATGAAGTGATGGAAAAAAATCACTTCACTGATTTTATTGGTATCCCAGCAAAAAAAAAAAAAAAAGCTGGGGTACCAATACTCATATCTGATAAATTAGATTTCAAAATGAAGGCCATAACGAGAGACAAAGAAGGCCACTACATAATATTGAAAGAAATTTTCCAACAAAAAGATAACCTTGGTAAACAGATAAGCACCCAATGTAGGAGTACCAACATATATTAAAAATCTTCTGGAGGACTTCAAAGGAGAAATCAACAGTAATACAATCATAGCAGGGGACTTCAATACCCTGCTGACATCACTGGATAGATCTTCTAGACAAAAAATTAACAAGGGAACACAGACTCTAAATGAAGCACTAGATCAAGTAGATTTAATAGATTTCTACAGAGAATTACACCCCAAAACCACAGAATTCACATTCTTCTCAAGTGCACATGGGACATTCTCAAAGATAAACCACATGTTAGGGCACAAACTAAGTCTCTACAAGTTCAAGAAGATTGAAATCATATCAAGCATCTTCTCAGATCACAATGGCATGCAACTAGAAATCAATTGCAAAAAGAACATGCAAAGACATTTGAAAACATGGAGGCTAAATAGCATGTTATTGAACAAAGAATGGTTACTGAGGAGATCAAGGAAGAAATTAAAACTTCTTGGAAACCAAGTAAATGAACACACAACATAGAATCTATGGGATGCAGCGAAAGCAGTTCTGAGAGGGAAGTTCACAGCACTACAGGCCTACCTCAAGAAACTACAAAAAATTCTGATAGACTATCTAACCTCACAACTTAAAGAACCAGCAAGCAAACAAAAAGAAAACCCCATAACAAGTAGAAGGAAGGAAATAGTAAAGATCAGAGCTGAAATAAAGAACATGGCGACCAAAAAAACAATTCAAGGATCAATGAAACAAGAGCTGGTTCTTTGAAAAGATAAACAAAATTGATGGACCATTAGCTAGACTGACCAAGAAACAGGAGAACCCAAATACACAAAATGAAAGAGGAGAAATAATAATTGACACCACAGAAATACAAAGGATTATTAACAGATATTATGAACAATTATATGGCAACAAATTCAACAATCTAAGCAAATGGACAAATTTTTAGAAACACAGTCTCCCAAAACTGAACTGGGAAGAGATAGAAAATTTGAACAAACCAACAACAACAAAATAAATTAAAGATGTAATCAAGACTCTCCCAGCAAACAAAAGCCCAGTCCTGAATGGGTTCATGGGGGAATTTCACTGAACATTCAAAGAAGAACTAATACCCATTCTCCTCAAACTATTTCAAAAAATTCAAGAAGAAGGAAGACTTCCAAACTCGTTTTATGAGGCCAGCATAATTCTAATTCCAAAACCAGATAAAGACACTACAAAGAAAGAAAACTACAGACCAATAGCCCCGATGAACATAGATGCCAAAATCCTGAACAAAATACTAGCAAATCGAATCCAGCAATACAACAAAAAAACTATTCACTATGACAAAGTGGGATTCATTATAGGGATGCAAGGCTGGTACAATATTCACTAATCAATAAATGTGATACACCACATAAACAAAATGAAAGATAAAAATCATATGATCATCTCAATAGACACTGAAAAACAATTTGACAAAATTCAGCATGCGTGTCTGATAAAAAAAGCTCAGCAATCTGGGAATAGAGGGATCATATCTTGACATAAAAAAAGCCATATATGAAAAACCTAGAGCCAACATCATACTCAATGTGCAAAAATTAAAAGCATTTCCCTTAAGAACAGGAACAAGTCAAGGATGCCCACTTTCACCACTTATTAAACATAGTACTGGAAGTCTTAGCCACAGAAATTAGACAGGAAGAAAAAGTAAAAGGGATCCAAATGGAAAAGGAGGAAGTGAAACTGTCATTATTCGCAGATGACATGATACTATGCGTATAAAACCCCAAAGACTTATCAAAAATCTTCTAGACTTAATAAATGAATTTGGCAAAGTAGCAGGATACAAAATTAACATCAAAATCGATGGCATTCTTATACAACAATGATGAACTCACAGAAAGAGAAACTAAAAAACCAATCTCATTTACATTGTGGCAAAAAAATTAAGATACCTAGGAATAAACTTAACCAAAGAAATAAAGGACCTATTCGCAGCAAACTACAGTTCATTGAAAAAAGAAATAGAGGAAGATATAAAAAAGTGGAAGCACATACCTTGTTCATGGATTGGAAGAATTAACATCATTAAAATGTCCATATTACCCAAAGCAATCTATAGATTCAATGCAATCCCCATCAAAATACCAACAACATACATCACAGAACTAGAACAAATACTTCAAAAGTTCATATGGAACCAAAAACGACCTCGAATAGCCACAGCTATCTTGAAAAAGAAGAACAAAGTTGGAAGGATCACATTACCAGATTTCAGGTTATACTACAAAGCCACTGTAATAAAAAAAAAGCCTGGTACTGGCACAAGAACAGGCACATAAACCAGTGGAACAGAACAGAGAACCCAGAAATGGACCCAAGGCAATATCCTTAATTAATATTTGACAAAGGTGGCAAGAGCATACAGTGGAGTAAGGACAGCCTCTTTAATAAATGGTGTTGGGAAAATTGGACAGCTACATGCAGAAAAATGAAACTAGACCATCAACTTACACCATACACAAGAACAAACTGAAAATGGATAAAAGACTTAAATGTGACTCATGAATCCATAAAAATCCTAAAAGAAACTGTAGGCAACAAAATTTCAGATATTACACGCAGCAGAATTTTCACTGATACATCACTTAAGGCAATAGAAACAAAAGAGAAAATGAACACATGGGACTACATCAAACTCAAAAGCTTCTGCACAGCAAAAGACTCAATCATCAAAATGGAAAGGCAACCCACTGTATGGGAGAGCATAATTGCCAATGATATATCAGATAAAAGATTAACCTCCAATATATATAGAGTGCTCATACAACTCAACAAAAGGAAAATAAAGAATCCAATTAAAAAATGGGCAGAGGAACTAAAAAGACACCTCTCTAAACAGGACATACAAATGGCTAAGAGACATATGAAGAAATGTTCAACATCACTAATCATCAGAGAGATGCAAATTAAAACAATAATGAGGTATCACCTCACACCTGTCAGAATGGCCGCCATCAACAAATCATCCAACAACAAGTGTTGACGAAGGTGTGGGGGAAAGGGGACTCTAGTACACTGCTGGTGGGAATGCAGACTGCTGCAGCCACTATGGAAAACAATAAGGTGTTACCTCAAAAAATTAAAAATTGAACTTCCATTTGACCCAGTGATCCCACTTCTAGGAATGTACCCTATGAAGCCTGAAACACCAATCACAAAGAATATATGTACCCCCATGTTTATAGCAGCACTATTTGCACTTTTTATCTGGAAACAGCCCAAATGTCCATCAGTAGACGAAGAGATAAGAAAGCTGTGATACATATACACAATGGAGTACTATGCAGCTGTAAGAAAGAAAGATCTCTTATCCTTTGAGACAACATGGAGGGACCTGGAAATTATTATCCTAAGCGAAACAAGCCAAACAGAGAAAGACAAGTATCATATGATCTCACTTATTTGTGGAATATAATGAACATAACAGTCTGAGGAATGGGGCAGTCCCAGAGACGTGAAAGTGGGGTAGAGACTGACAATCCCCAGAAGAGGGGGAGAGATAAACCACAGAATTTATATACATGTATGCATGAACAATGGACATGGACCACAAAGCTGGGGACAGACCCGGGAGGGGGGGGGAGGGAGAATCAGTGGGGGGAAAATGAGAAACATTTGTCACAAGAATAAAGAAATTAATTAATAAAAAAACCAAATAGGAATCTTTAAATTAACTAAGACACACATTAGAAGGTGTGGGTACTACAAATATACACTGTGAATAATTATTAACATGCAAAAAGTAATTTGTCATTGATTATTCAGCCCCACAATGTAAGTGCTTAGACTCTTTTGGTCTTACCTTTGCACTCTGGCAATGGATGACTCCAATCAGTGCTAGTCCCCTTAAGAACACAGGCACTAAGAGCTGAACCAACTAATTTGTACCTAAACAATGAAGGGGGGAGGAAAAAAAAGTTGAGTTCTCTTTAATTCTTCAGAATATCATCTTAAAATATTTACTATACCAGCACATGGGGACAAAACAATAGTTGATAAAAGTTCATATGGCAATTTAAAGAAAAATAAATTAAATTTAAAAAGGTAACATACAAAGGATAAGCAAGTATAAGACATGCAAAACATTTCTTATTTGGGTGGGCCACATGTTAGAAAATATTAAAGCATTTTAAAGCATTTAAAAATGATATAGATGCTTGAACATTTCATATTTCTGAGTTCTGGAAGATCAATATGAGCTTCATGGAATAATAGAATGTACTTACATTTAAAGGGTTCAAAGTACTCCCAGATTTGATATTAATTATCTAAACATCTGTGTTTAGTACAGGAGATAAGTGATACTGATATTTTTATTTTTTTAAAAATTGACATACACAGAGAGTAAAATATCATAATTCAATTTTCATATATTAAAAGATAAAATGAATATAAAGTTTTCAGCAGTGTTGAGACACTGATAAGTCTCAATTAGTGACATACTTGATACTTGATAAGTACATGATATTTTAACACTAGGAGTAAATTTTTCAGCCTATTATAGTTTATAACAGGTGGTTTACGTTTAGAAAAAAGCATGAAAATTTATTATTTAGGTAAATTAAAGACTGGTTTTATTTAACACTTGGGTTTAATTTCTGCAAGTAATTTCCTTTATGAATGACATTTTAAAAATTATAATGGAGTTGTAAAGATGGTGGCAGAGTGAATGGAGGCTACACAGACAGTCTCCCAGGACCAAACTGGAATTACAAGTAAAATAAGGACAAATCATTGGAGAAAAAAACACAACTGAAAATCAGCTAGAGAGAACCCGTATAAGCAGGGATGGAAAGAGGACAACAAATCAAGCCTGGTAGGAATTGCAGAGGCATAAGTGGGTGGATTGAGAGCCCATGGACAGCAGCTGAGGGCTGTTTGAGCTGTGAGCAGTTCCTGCTCAGAAGACAGGGGTTGAAAAAGCACCAAATCAGCCACAGCCCCTCACCTTGGGCTCTTGCAGAGGGAGGGCAGACTGGACTGGAACTGTGTGAAGAAAGTCTGGGGTCCATGGCTCAGGAGAGAGAGGACACTGGGAGTTTTATACTGAATCACTCCCTCATAGGATAGTAACCATATTACTCAAAGAGCCCCTTCCCAGAAGCCACAGCTCCTCCCTCAGGAATTTAACACCACCAGGCCAGGCCAGAAAAATGCAAATTAAGGCTCATTAACAACTAGAGTCTGACAACTAGAGTCTGACAGCAAGTGAAAGCCCCACCTGCACCGACTGGAAATCCTCTTACACCTGGGGAATTTCTTATTCAGCTGAGGGCTACAAATCCAGGCTCATCAAGTAACTGAGACTAATAGCCTGTAGGTGAAACCTAGAGGATAACTGAACCTTTGTCTGGCCTGCAAATCTACCCAGAAAAGTAAGACTTCACAGAGGTGTTCAATGTGGGTCCTTTCACACTCATCCAAACCCAGTAGAAGGAGCTACAACTAATGGAACACCAACACCCACAGGAAAGATTTGGCAGGGTCCAAAACCCACCGAGAAAGCCAAAATGTGAAACAAGAAAACAAATCCCAAATGAAAGTACAAGATAATTCTCAGGACAAGAGATAAATAAAATGGAATTAAGCAAGATATCAGAGGTTGAGTTCAGAGTTATGATTATGAGGAAGCTCAACAGCATGAGTAGAGAGCTCAACAACATGAGTGAAGATATAGAAACACTGAAAAACAACCAATTGGAAATGAAGAATGACATAGCAAAAATAAAAAACACATCAGAAGGAATAACCAGCAAAGTAGAGGAAGCCGAGGATTGGATCAGTGATTTAGAAGACAGGGTAGAAAAAAATCAACCAATCAGAAAACCAAAAGTAAAAAACAATTAAAAACAGGAAGACAGCTTAAGAGAACTATGGGACAACTGAAAATGTAACAATATCCACATCATAGGAGTGCCAGAAGAAGAAGACAATGAGCAAGGGTTAGAAAATATACTTGAAGAAATAGTGACAGAAAACCTCTTTAACGTGGTGAAGAAAAAAAGCATACAAGTTCAAAAAGAACAGAGAGCCTCAAGTAAGAAGAATCTAAAGAGGTCTACACCAAGACACATAATAATTAAAATGCCAAAAATTAAAGACAGAGAGAATCCTAAAGGCAGCAAGAGATAAGCAACAGGTTACCTACAAAGAAACCCCCATAAGGCTACCAGCTGACTTCTCAACAGAAACACTACAGTCCAGAAGGGAATGGCATGAAGTAATCAAGGTTATGAAAAACAAGAATCTGAATCCAAGACTACTCCATCCTGCAAGGCTATCATTCAAAATAGAAGGTAAAATAAAAAGCTTCCCAGACAAAAAAATAAAAGACCAAGGGAATATAGTAGCACCAAACCAGCACTACAAGAAATGTTAAAAGGACTACTGTAATAAGCAGAAGACATATGAAGAGAAACACAACCAGAATAAATAAAAATGGCAATAAATAAGTACATATCAATAATAACCTTAAATGTAAATGGATTAAACACTCTGATCTAAAGACACAGAGTAGCTGAATGGATAAGAAAACATGACCAATATATATATAAAACAGAGATCCACCTAACAACAAAAGGCCCACATTGGTTGAAACTGGAAATCAATTACAATAAAAACACTCAGAAACATTCAAACACATGGAAACTAAATAGCATGTTATTAAACAATGAATAGGTTACCAAGGAGATCAAGGAAGAAATTAAAAACTTCCTGGAAACCAATGAAAATGACCACACAACAACAAAAAATCTATAGGACACAGCCAAAACAGTCCTGAGAGGGAAGTTCATAGCACTACAGGACTACCTCAAGAAATAAGAAAAATTTCTAATTAACTTTCTTAACCTACAATATAAAGAACTAGAAAGTAAACAAAAAGAAAAACACAGAGCAAATAGAAAAAAAGAAACAGTAAAGGTCAGAGCAGAAATAAACAATATAGAAACAAACAAAGAAAACAATTCAGCCCTGGCTGGTTTTGCTCAGTGGTTAGAGCATCAGCCTGCGGTCCAGAGAGACCCGGGTTCGGTTTCCACTAGGGGTGTGTACCTCGGTTGCAGTTTGTTCTCGGCCCTAGTTGGGTCGTGTGAATGACAGCCACTTGATGTGTCCCTTTTACATCGAAGTTTCAATGTTTCTCTCTTTCTTTCCCTCCCACTCTATCTGAACAAAATATCAAAAAGTGTCCTCGGGTGAGGGTAGAGAAAAAAAAAAAAACAATTCAAAAGGTCAATGAAACAAAGAGTTGGTTCTTTAAATGATAAACAAGATTGATGGACCCTTAGCCAGACTCACCAAGAAGCAAAAAGAGAGAACCCAAATGAACAAAATTGAAAAGGAAAGACAAGTAATAACAGACACCACAAAAATACAAAGGGTCATGAACAATTATATGCCAACAAATTGGACAATCTAGGTAAAATAGACAAATTTCTAGAAACACAATCTCTCAAAACTGAACCAGGAAGAGACAGAACACTTGAACAGACCAATAACAACTAAGGAAATTGAAGATGTAATCAAGAAACTCCCAGAAAACAAAAGACCAGGCCCAGGCGGCTTCCCAGGGGAGTTTTACAGAACATTCAAAGAAGAACTAACACCCATTCTCCTCAAACTATTTCAAAAAATTCAAGAAGAAGGAAAACTTCCAAACTTGTTTTATGAGGCCAGCATAATTCTAATCCCAAAACTAGATAAAGACACTACAAAAAAAGAAAACTGCAGCCCAATATCCCTGATAAATATAGATCCCAAAATCCTTAACAAAATATTAGCAAATCAGATCCAACAATACATCAAAAAAAATTATTCACCATGACCAAGTGGGATTCATCCCAGGGATGCAAGGCTGGTAGAATATTCACAAATCAATAAATGTGATATACCACATAAACAAAATGAAAGATAAAACCCATATATGTGATCATATCAATAGACGCTGAAAAAGCATTTGACAAAATTCAGCACTCATTTATGATAAAGAACAAAACAAACAAAAAAAAACCCTTAGCAATGTGGGAATAGAGGGATCATATCTTGCATAATAAAGGCCATATATGAAAAACCTACAGTTGACATCATACTCAATGGGCAAAAAATTAAAACCATTTCCCTTAAGAGTAGGAACAAGACAGGGATGCCCACTTTTGCCAGTTTTATTTAACATAGTACTAGAAGTCTTAGCCACAGCAATTAGACATGAAAAAAATAAAAATAAAAAGGATCCAAATTGGAAAGGAGGAAGTGAAACTGTCATTAATCACAGATGACATGATATTGTACATAGAAAACCCTAAAGACTTTATCAAAAATCTATTAGACTTAATAAATGAATTTGGCAAAGTAGCAGGATACAAAATCAATATCAAGAAATAGATGGCATTCTTATACACCAATAATAAACTCACAGAAAGACAAACTAAAAAAAAAAAAAATCCCATTTACCATTGCAGCAAAAAAATTAAGAGTCCTAGAAATAAACTTAACCAAAGAAATAAAGAACCTGTTTTCAGAAAACCACAGGACATTGAAAAAAGAAATATAGGGAGGTATAAAAAAGTGCAAGCATATGCCTTGTTCATGGATTGAAAGAATAACATCATTAAAATGTCCATACTACCCAAAACAATTCAATGCAATCCCCACTAAAATACCAATGACATATTTCACCAAACTAGAACAAATACTCCAGGAGTTTATATGGAACCAAAAATGACCCCAAAAAGCCACAGAAATCTTGAAAAGGAACAAAGTAGGATATCACATGATCCTACAAAGCCATTTTAACCAAAACAGTCTGAGACTGGCACAAGAACAGGCATATAGATGAATGGAATAGAACAGAGAACCCAGAAATTGACCCAAGACGCTACACTCAATTATAAGAAAGAGAGATAGATCTCTTATCCTTTGAGACGACATGAAGGGATCTTTGAGATGACATGGAGTATTATGCTAAGCAAAATAAGCCAATCAGAGAAAGACAAATATCACATGATCTCACTTATTTGTGGAATATAAGGAACAAAATAAGCTAATGAACAAAATAGACCCAGAGACTTAGAAGTAGGGTACAGACTGACAAACCTCAGAGAGGAGGGCAGAGGGGAGGGAAGAGATTAACAAACAAACAAACAATGCACTGATAAACAAAAGAACTTATGTGCATATATGCATAACCAGTGGACATAGACAACATTGCTGGGAGATGGGCAGGGACAGGAAGAGGGTGTCAATGGGGGAAAAAGGAGAAACCTCTGTAACAAAAATAAATTAATAAAAAATAAATAATTTTTAAAAATCACCAAAAATAAAAAATTATAATGAATCACATGTACTGAAATCCAAGAATTTAGAGAATTTGGTGGTATAAGATATCTTCTTTCTTAGCCTATTTAACTAAATTTAAATGTGATAAACTCATGAGAAAAAATCTTTGAACAGCAGGATTGTTTTATTGCTACTAGCTTGTAAACACTGGCCATACATCTGAACATTTCTATCTTAAATTCTAATTTGTTCTTTCATTTGTTAAATATAGACTGTTTAGTAAGTGAAAACTTACCCTGTGTTACATGAGAAGCTGATGGATGAGCCATATAATATGTCAGTTTTTACTATGACATTACCATTTATTATTTTTCCAGGATTAGGACATGATTTTTCTAAAAGACAGTACAAATTGTTTTTTTGTTTTTTTTCCATTAAGTTATCAGGCACATCTATGCAAAATTATCATCTGAACCACTGGTACTCTCTTATTCCGAGACTGTTTAAATCCTACAGTCATTTTATAAGTTTCAAAACAGCAAGATATTTAGAATATATACTTATTTCATTTCATTTAAAGTAACTGTGAGTCAATTAATATTCCTATCTCTCAAGTACTTAGTTTGCCTAATTTAAAATAAAATGACTCTAAACGGTTCTTTTAAGAATCATTCTAAATAATAATAGGGACACATAATAATATGTACACTTAGACTCCCAGCATAAATAAAGGATGAAATACTATTTCCCCAAATACCATAGAATTAAGAATACTCTTTAAAATTATACTCACTTTTACAAAATTCATCTGATTTGGACCACGTAAAATTCTGAAGGCAAGTTAGGTTTCCTGATAGAGAATGGTCCCTTTTGAAGCCCAAACGACACTCATATTCTACAACAGAACCCGATGGAAAATAATTCTGTGTATTATAAGGCTTTTTGAGAGTTGCAAAAAGTAGTCTGGTTGGAACGTTGCAACTACCTAAAAGTATGAACAAAAGCAACAATAGCAAAAAACAATTATCACTTTATTCAATAATCTATATATTTAGTTATTTGGAATCATCTGGTCCTTACATCACCCTCTTTTTTGTACTTCTTTTACATATTTGGTATTTATATTAATATCAATATGGCATTTATAGCATATCAAGCATATTCAAATATATGCTTTCATCTTCTAATTACTAGAGGCCTGTGAAATAGATTTGGTATATAGATGTCATGCCCACAATTTGAAAAATATAACCCATTTAAGTTGCTTGGCACATTTCTGGCACTGACCCATGTAGCACAGGGGTAGAGGAAACCAATATTCCCAGACCCCTGGGATAATGTCCTGGACAAGAACAACAATAGTAACTATAATAGCTCATATTTATGAAATGCTTCTAAATGTTTTACACACATAAATTCATTCAATCTCACAACAACCCATTGGGTCAAGGATCAGATGAGCAAATGTGTACATACAAGTATTTATAAACTTTAAACATCTGGGTGAATATGAATTTATAAAGGCATGGAATAGTTGAATTTATAGTCAAAAGACTCACATTTAAATCTGGGCTCTTCTGCATAAGAGCTGCGGATCTTAAGGAAGTTATTTAATTTCTGGGGGCCTGTTGCCTCAACTGTAAAATGAGGAGTCTCTACTCACCTCATGGAATTGTCTGGAGGATTATATGTATTAATATATGTAGTAGAATTATAAACTCTGTAACATGATACATGTGCAAAGGCTAATGCACTCAACGAACTGCCTTCTATCACAGGTTAAAAAAAAGTTAAAGTCCATTTCAAAAAATACTTGTGGTGGCAGTTTCTATGTTTACTGTATCTTCCATTGCTCCAACTTTTTCAAAGGCAGGAATCAAGTCTTATCTTTTTACCTGCTTGTATATATCAAAGCTAATATAGGGCTATGCATAGATTTTGAGGTTCATATGGAGACATTTTTTTTAAATGTCATCACAGAGTTGTACTTGGTAAATCCTTCCAAACATGTTCATATTTAATTTATTCCCTAAACAACGACAGTACCTATTATATATTTTCTGTTAGTTCAGGAGGTACAGTGTGTAGGGGGTAGAGGGTTGTTAATGAGGAAGCAGGATCTATTACTGGAAGAAGCCATCAATTAGCTGGAGTGTGAAATGCTAACAGGTGCACCCTGGGGTTTAATAACGCTAGAAAGTAACCCTGAAGAGGGATACATTTTAACTTAACATACATTCCATTCCCATAACTTCTTTAAAAATATGCTTTTATCCTTTTTTTTTTTTTTAGAGAGAGAGAGAGAGCAGAAGGGAGCGGGAGAGAGAGAGAAACATAGAACCAGCTGCCTCCCACACACCCGCTATCACAGATGGAGTCCCCAACCCCAGCATGTGCTCTGACTGAGAATGGAACTGGTGACCTCTTCCTACATGGAAAGATGCAAAACCAACTCAGCCATACCAGGCAGAGCCCCATAGCTTTTCTAAAAAGAAATGAAGAACTTACGATTACAAAATTCTTTTATTGATGACCATACGTTCTCAAGACAGATCACTGAGTCTGGCTCGCCAGGAACTTTTACAAAGCCTTTATTGCATTTGTATGTTACTACTTTTTTATTAGGAAAACTTGTAAGACCTTTCAAATCTGGTTGAGCATTAGGTATATCTGGGGGGAGGCTGCAGTCACCTAGGGAGGAAAAAATGAGACTGAAGGAAATACCGCTTTTCAATTTATAGCAACATTCCTTTCCCAAAGCAATAAGGGAAGCAGCAACAGCATCTGATGCACATGTAATATTTCCATCCAGTGCCAAACTGACATACCAAGAATGTGCTAGGCTTCTAGTCTTGACAATTAACTCAAGGCTGAAATAAGTCAAGAATAAACCCCTCCCCTTCATTATTTATTTTGTGTGTGGTTTAGTATTTATCTCCACTTAGAAACTGTTACTAGACACACAATAAAGACAGAGGCCCAGTTGGACTGTTACACCTGGAGATGAGCAAATTTGTAGATCCATGAGCTGCACACAACTGAACTCTGTTTAGGAGCCAGAGTGGCCGGCGATTTGGCTTCCGGCTCTGAAAGAGATGTTGGGGATATGACATGACAAGTCCCTCCATCCCAGCCCGGCCTTTCTGCTTCCAGCGCTTGGCTGCTCTGCAAACTTAGCGGCGCTTTCTCAACTCTGCGCGCCTCACTCCGAGGCCAAGCCAGCTGGGGCGCAGCACAGCAAGACCCCTAACAGCTGGTTAGCAGCGGAGATCCTCTTCCTGTCCCACGGGATAGGCTCTCTGAGCCCTAAAGGCAGGGGATTACTGAAACAATTACCGACGCCCACATCCCCCACCTTCCCAGGTCCTCAGACTTCTTAGTTGTCACCGAGACTGACCCAGCCCCTCCCACTTCGACTAGGGGTTCACCCAGCTGGGCTGGGTCCCCGGCCCCTACTCACCCCGCGCAGCGTGGGGACACAGCAGCAGCAGCAACAGGGTCAACCCGCCGAGGAGGCGCAGCACTGCGGGGGTGCCCCCCCAGCAGGGACTCATGGCGCGGCGACAAGGACCCAGCGACCGCTCTAGGCGGCTCCACAGCAGGATCAAGCGGGTTCCAGCAGAGACCTGTAAGGAACTGCAGAGCGCAAACCAATTTAAATTAGCGCCCTGTGTGGTTTCAGGGCTCTGAATCACCAAAGGGTGGGGCGAAGAGAGGAGGGGAGACTGGGGTTTGCTGGAACCAGGTGCTGGGCGGGGCAAGGGCGGGGGCTCTAGCCTCACTGGCCCCTAGGGACCCTGGACTAGGAACCAGAGGTCCTGAGCAGGGAAACCAGCTCTCTGGAGCCGGACCCTGGGACTTTTTCTCTTTGCTCGGGTGGGGCCTGCGGTGAGCCGCCATCCAGAAATGTAAACATCTGCTTTCTAAGTAAACAAAAATATTGGGAGGAACGGTGGCGAGGGGAGTGTTTTAAGTGGCCAGGCTGGGCTCCCCAGGAATCTGAATTCGTTTACCTTAAGCGCCCTGGTGCTGCAAAGCTGAGCGACAGGTGCAGTGGATTCTCTGGCTGGGAGCTGAGAAATAGTGCCCACCCAGGGGCCTGGTGCCTTCTACTAAGAGGCCTGTCGAATGCCAAGAAGAGGATGGGAAAGAAACGACGCGGTGTGTTGTCTCCTAGGACGCTGGATAACTGGAAAACAGAAAGTGGGAATGGACCCAAGAAGCAGGTGGAGCAACAGAGCAGGAGTGACTGTTGTTCATACCAGGTTTGGGCGGGAGTCACTTTCCTGCCAGGGTTTTCTGTGTTGAAGAGCAGCTCATGAATTCCACTTCGGGACTATTCTTGTCTGAATGCAGAAAAATTCTCCATGTGTTGAGCAGAAAGGAACATGACAAAACCAAAACCAAGAGCCAGAAAGCTAAATGATAGGGTGGGCGGATTTTTAGAGGAAGGTTTGCTAGAAGATCTTAAGTATAGGTCAGTGGTTTGAGTGGCTGGCCACACGTTAGAATCACAGGAGAAGCTTTTAAAAAGTCCAAATGCTCCCACTCAGATGAGTTAAATTCGAATTTCTGGGGATGGGACAGGGCCATCAGGATTATTTAAAGTACTTCGGGTAAGTAATTCCACTGTGCAGCCTGTTAGAGAACCATCGATTATTTGATACCAGTCAGAGTAAAGATCCACTCAGCCCAATACTGTGCCAGTTAGAAACACGAACAGGGCGTACATGGAAAGACCAGCTACTCACATTCATGGGGAGTAGCCCCAAGAAACTGTTTCCCTTTAGTTATTTACCTGACTCTGGTTAGCACAGTCCTAGCCTAGCTTTCCTGTCTGTCCCTCAAACACCTGACCTGGTTAATGAAAATCCCTGACTTGGAATTATGCCTTAGTACATGGACCAGCTGTGGGGTTAACTGTTGCATTGTATCATGACATTCTCTCCAAAATGTTTTTAAATCATTCTTTATAAGGAGGAAAACAGTTGCCAACAACAGTGTTTCCTCTGACTCATGTTTACTATATGAAGGGAACCCCACATTCACCCAGTGCTGAAACTGACCCTTCAGGCATCCCAGAAAAGGAACTCCTACCATCTTGCATAAAAACTTGTCAGTGTTAAAACGTTCTGGAGTATAGAAGCTGGGCTTTTTAAATCATCGAGTGTGACTCTCATATTTTATATTAAACCACCTTACTTCTACTTTCACATTTGATATAAAAACACAAAGTTTGTCAGGGTCCAGCGGTGTTTTAGAAGTGATTCCAGGTCTTCATTGATTCTCCCTAAGAGTCTCCCATGACCGTACTCACCACATCCTTCTGCCATACCACTGTGGGTAGGTAGTCTTTGTTTCTGCTTGGGCTCACAGAATTGGTGTGAAAAGAGCTGAAGGTCAAGATCAGTTATGGGCCCTGGCTGGTTTGGCTCAGTGGTTAGGGCGTTGGCCTGCGGTCCTGAGAGACCCGGATTTGGTTCCTGCTAAGGGCACGTACCTCAGTTGCAGTTTGTCCTCAGCCCTGGTTGGGTCGTGTGGGTGGCAGCCACTCAATGTGTCCCTTTCACGTCAATGTTTCTCTCTCTCTCTCTCTCTCCCTCCCTCCCGCTCTATCTGAACAAAAAATGAAAAAATGTCCTAGAGTGAAGATAAAAAAAAAAGATCAGCTATAGAGCTGTCAGAAGACTTAACTTGAGAAGCAAGCGCTTATTAAGTGAATGTAATAGTTTTTTTATCCAGACAAAACTATGAGCTCTGCAAAGTGTCAAAAAAAATTATCTCTGTCATCCAGCTTAGCTATACTGAATACTCTAAGACCTCATCTTCTAAAATACATAGTTCTTAATACATTTTTTTAAAAAAGGAACTTGTATGAGAAATAACTAGGCAGACTCTTTAGTAACACTTACGATCACTCCCCAAATTTCAACACTCTGAGTGTAAAGGAAAAAAAGAGAAATCCACTATTCAGTTACTCAATTTAGAAAAAGCTTCTATGGTAAAAAAAAAAAAAAAAAAGAAAGTATGTATTATTAAGAAGCATTAAATATGCAAATTTATAACACACTAAAGATTATTTTAAATAATAACCTCAAATGGTTGTGTTTCAATCCCTTCATATACATTATACCTTTTCACCAACACAACTTCATGAACTGGAGATAACTGCCCACATTTCATAGATGAGGAAAACAGCTGAGAAGTTAAGTAATTAACCAAAATTTGTGCAGCTAATTAAGTGACCAGGCCAGAATCTAAATTTAATTTTCTTGATTCCAAACCTTTACTTACTTACCTCTTCTACTCTACCACACTGCATTCTTTTTATAGCAGCCAGTCAGTAAAGCTGTCTTTTACATAAAGGACACTGAATTAGGCATTTTGGGAGGTTGATTTAGAAACCAAGCTCCTTGTGGTGTCAACAGTAGACCTGAGTCTTCATACTTCATCTACCAAAAACTAAGCCCAGTCATTCTATCCCTTAGGGCCTCAGTCCTCATTTCCACATTGGTTAGGAAAGAGTTGACAACTAAAAATTATCTTTATAGAGTTTTCCAATTCCAAAATGATAAGTTTAGGTAAAAAAAAAAAAGATATTTTAAATAATAGAAAATAGGTCTATGATTTTGGCAGAAAATAGTGGACACAGCTTTCACCCCATCTCAGGAACCATACAAGGACCACCACATCAAACTGGGGATCATCTAGTCCTCAGAAGCACTTTAAGGAAGGGCCAGTCCTTGTGTTCAGGGATCTCTAATTGTGATATATAAGAAATTGTGATTTATAAAAAATGTATATTGGGTCATTCAGACAAACTAATGTGTTTCTCATATATATTTGGTCTTTGTCTACAATTCCTGGCTCACAACTCTCAGAAACTTGGAATTTTCTAAGTGTCAGATTGAAAAAGTTGTCTTTTGTTGTGTTAAATGAGGTGACTTTTGGACCCCACAAAAGGAATGGGGGCTGGTTGCCAATGGAACCAAACATGTAATTAGAGGGTTAAAACTTGAAGTCCCACCCAGACTTCCAGGGAAGAAAGAGACTAGAGGTTAAATTAATCACCAAAGGCCAATGATTTAATCAGTCATAACTGTAATGAAGCTGGCATAAACACTCAAGAAAACTGGGTTTGGGGAGTCTCAGGGTTGGTGAACACATGGTGGTGCAGGGAGAGTGGTGTACCTGGAGAGAGCATGGAAGCTCTACCCTGCGCCCCATACTTTAACCCTATGCATCTCTTCCATTGGGCTGTTCCCCAGTTATATCCTTTTACAATCAACCAGTGATCTAATAAGTAACATATTTCTCTGAATTCTGTGACCCATTCTAGCAAATTAATCAAAACCACAGAGGGGGGTTGCGGGAACCTCTAATTTAAAGCCAGTTGATTAGAAACATGGGTAACAACCTGGACTTGCTACTGGCATTCTGAAATGAAGGGGTTTGTTGGAACCTCCAGTCTGTAGCCAGTGGGTCAGGAACACAGAAAGCCTGGGCTTACTGCTGTCATCTGAAGTATGATTTTGGTGGGAGGGAAGGGCAGTCTTATAGGACTGAACCCTTAACCTGTGGACTTTAATTTTATCTCTGTCTCTAGGTAGATAGTGTCCAAATTGAGTTGACTTCTTGGACACCTCGCTAGTGTGCAAAAATTGTTGGTATGTGGAGGGGGTGCAGTCTTGTTGGACCAAATCCTTAACCTGTGTGATACAATGCTGCCTCTGGGTAAATAGTGTCAGAGTTCTGAGAACTGTTTGTTGGTGTTGGGGGAACCACCCCCTGACCATGTTGGAATTGGGTCATTGGGTCAGGGAATTTAATTTAATAAAATGTAGCAGGGAGGCTTTATGTGATAAATGCTATGGGAATGCCTTAACCAATGTAGTGGGCGGGGGCGGGGGCATTCAGCCTAGTGATTTGGCTAAATAATTACAAATATGTCAATGCAAAGGGGGGGGGTATAAAAAGATATAAGAATGATATGTCCAAGGTTTGGGGTCAGGGAAAATGTTAGTTGATTCCAAGAATGGTAAGGAATTATCTCGGGCTGAGCATGGAGGATTTAACATGAGTAATGGAGGAAGAAGCTGAGAGGTAGACTGGCAAGGTATTTGAGAGAGCCTTAAACACAATGCGTTTTACACTATTCAGAAGCATTGGAGGACTGATGAAGATTTTTACCAGCAAGTACAAGGTTGTTTTGGGAGCTGTGTACAAGATACTGCAAAAGGAGTGCCCGGCAAGCAAAGACCCAGACATGTCTTTAATTGTAGTTTTTAAATTAATAGATCTCTATTAAGGAAACAGTCTTGTTACTCTAAAAACCCCCAATAAAATTATTATAGTCATTTGTGTTTGTGTGTCTGTTCTTACCACAGAGCTGTCAATGGAAGAACCTACAGAATTTGGTGACTGATTAGATAAGGAACAAGAAAAATAAGTGGTAAAGATGACTCAGAGGTTTGGTATGTGTGAGACTAGGGGCCCTATTTTGAAATGTAGGGAAGAAATAACAACTTTGGCTGCACAGTTTTGTTTTGTTTTGTTTTTGTTTTGTTTTTTTTATCC